TGCTTTCTTTTTTCTTACTGTTTGTGAACCAACACCTCATAGTGGAGTCTGAAGTAGTTGGAGATGATACTAATCATTCTCCATGCACAGTCCTATACTTTGTTTTTTGAGTAGTAGTCATTATTATTGTTGTGGTTCATTTGTGATGTCTTTTCCCTGTATGTTGTACTGAAGAGAATGAATTAATAATAATTAACTGAACGGTGGATATTATATCTTGTTAAGAATTATTTTTTTTTTTATTTACATATTCTCCGTACGCAGTCCGAATCAAACTAATGGGTTTGTCTTTTTTATTTCCCTTTTTCTCACTATCCGCTATGTAAACTTTACGTGTACCTTTTAATAATGATCTCTATTCCACATTTGTACTCTCCTTTTGTTTTTTCTTCTCTTCTTCTTTCCTACCTGTCAATTGAAGACCCATATGGACTAATAGTGAAGATGCCAAGGATGGCGTACATGATACGTCTGCATTTCTATTCTAACTGTGATATGATTGTTGGTGAAGGGCATGAATAGTGAACAGAGGGAAACAATGATACTGCAACACTTTACATGGCTATGTAGTCGATAGAAGAAAAGGAAAAGGAAAAGGAAGAAATGAAAGTTAATAGTGCTACCATTACTTTGTTACGACTAAGCTCTTAACGGGCAGGACTCTGTGTGTGTACATGAGTTATGCCCCCAGTCCGTAGTAATATAGTTAGTTAATAAAGCCACTTGATTTTCATCACTGTATGGCACTAACTGCAGTACCACTGATGTCCCACTAACAATTCCCCAAACCAGAGTTCCACATAATGCAGTGAAAAAATGATAATGATGTGTTTTTAGATGACACTAATATGTATCGTTCTCAATATTGTTATTCTATCTTTATCTAATATTTCATAGCGGAAAATACCTTTCTTTATATGTCTAAGCTACTCACACGATAAAAAATTAACGTAACTATTTGGATTTGATTCTTTGCTACACTGCACGATGTAGTGTTAGAACCAGATAAAGAAACAAGTAGACAATAATTGTGAAATTTGTTCTTTATTAATGCTTATCAGTGGATGTGTAATTTGGATTTTAATAATAAACCTTCTTGTTTATGTTTGTCGTTCTAACAACAAATATTATTAATGATATAATGTTGCTCTCTGTTTCTTCTCTTTCATAACATGACAACATAAATAAACAACACAGTCAAAGAATCACTATGCGCACAACTCTTCTATTGTTAATCTTGCTACTGATACTCTCCTGCATCTGTACATGTGCAGCAGCAGCAGAGAGGATGCCACTGCCGGTGCCACGTGTGGGTGGATACGCTACAGAGGCAACGGGAAAAGGGAGGAGAGACAACGGAAAGTGGAATAACGGTGAATTCACTACCACCACACCATCCCTCAGTATGAGTGAGTCCATGAGTGCCTCCGCCACTCTTCCTCTCTCTGACACCACTACTGTTGCCCCACCAGCAGCTGATCAACAAGAAGGATCATCAGAGG